GTCACATTAGAAAGGTATAGTAATCATTCACAACTATTTTCAGTTGCAGATGATAAAGGATTCAGAAAGTTTATTCATGCAGGTCCATATGACAGAGAATGTGCATCTTCTTTTTGTTTTCATATTTTAATTTATATTTAATTGTGTTGTTGTTTGCAGTGTTTTGTGTTGTTTCATTTTAAATTTGTTTAAAAGGAAAAAGCTGAAAATGTAAATAGTTAAAAGTTGAAATGTAAAAAGTTGGTTTTTATATTATATGATATATTTACTACATTTTATGTGGAGTGAATAAATAGTTTAAAAAGTATATTTACAGTGGCCCTAGAGACAAAGCACGTAAAAACTCCAAAACACAATTTAGTAAAACTAGTCTAGGTCAACATGCGATCCACTGTTTATATTTTAAGTTGTTAGTGGGTTGATTTTGAAGCTATATCAGTGTGGATGTTTAAATACAGGTCTGGTTAAAGAAACCAAACAGAATCTTTCAACTGCATTTAACTGTAGGAGCTTTGTGTCTCTGAATACATTGACATTCTCACAGGAAGACTGAGTGAAGAGTAGTTCTGAAACTGCACTAACCCACTGTACAGAAAACCAGTAAAGATGCATTTCATAGAGGTAGTGAAAGGGTATAGTCCTTAAAGGGGTTTAGGACATTGCTTTCAGTTATGTGGAAATGTAATCCCTTGTGTGCTGCTGCTCTTCTGCTTTTAGGAAGTACTACAAACGTTTGAAGCAGTCCTTCACTCAGTTCTGGGCTTTGATGCTAATAACCAGGAACACCATAAAGAGACATCACTGGAGAAAGGTATACATGAGAGAAAGAAAGTGTGAAAGAGAGAAAGAGAGAGGTCCTCACTGCGAAGGCCATGCCTGAGTTTGTTGGCAGTCTCATGATTTCTTATGGAATAATCTGTCGTAATTCTCGTGCAAAACCAGCCTCAAAAGAGTTAGGCTCATAAGTATTTGAAAAAAATATTTTTAACACATCTTGCTGTGGCATCAGTCCGTCTAAAATTCACAAGAATCAGTACTCCTCTACAGTATTGGTCAGGCTTTAAACAAACCATATACATTAATCACCTAATGGGTCCTCACCCTAATCTGGTCTTTAAATCTGATGTCATTAGTAGGGGTGCAACGATACACAAAATTCACGGTTCGGTT